GACTTTAATACATATAAATAAGTGCGCTTTTCAAAAAAAATCCCCTCCCTGAAAGGCTATTGCAGTTTAAAAACCCACTTAATGTTGTATGAGAGCACCCGTTTCCCCACATACGTAAGCAATACTGGATATTATCTGTATTTTAACATTTTTGCCAATCTGATGTTTGAAAAATGAGGTCTCATTTTAATTTGTGTTCCCATGATTAAAAGTGAGGTTGAAAATCTTTTCATTTGTTTTGGCCATTTGTGTTTCTTCTGTAATTTTCCTGTTTGTTTTCTTTGCTCACATTTGTATTGCATTATATTTTTTCCTAATTGACTTGTAGAAATTCTATATAATACAGCTAATAATCCTTTTGTTTTATTAAGTTGTGAATATTTACTCCCAGAATGGCTTTTCTTTTAGTTTCATTGATTGCCTTGTAGGTTTGCACAGTCAGATCTGAGTCTTTTTCTATATAACCTCCAGGTTTTACATTTTTAAGGGACTTTCCCACTGCAAGATGATAAAAATATTTTTCTGATATGTTTTCTGGTTATTTTAATGTTTCACTCTAATTCACCAATGATTTAAGGCAATTATGTTAAGTTTATTTTTTCCCTCAATGGATAGGCCCTTGTCCTAAGATCATTTATTGAATCTCCATCTTTCCCCAAATATTTGACATGCCACATTTATCATGCATTACATCCCTAAAAAGAGTGGGCCTATTTCTAGGCTCATTGTTCATTTTCATAATTTTTTCTTTCTGTTCTTGTGTCAGGACTACCCTGTTTCAATAAACCTACTGTATATTTTGTTACATAGTATGGATGCATCCCCATTTGGCCTCATTTGTTTTTGTTTTGAAAAATACATATTCTGTAAGTAAAATTGGGAGGCATATCAGTTTTGTAGGGCTGCTTTAGCAAAATACCACAAAGTGGGTGGCTTAAAACAATAGAGATGTATTGTCCCATAGTTCTGGAGGGCTGGGAGTCCAAAATCCAGGTGTCAGGAGGGCCATGCTGCGTCTGAAACCTGTATGGGAACCTTACTTCTGGCAGTTTGCCCTCAGTCTCTGGCATTTCTTGCTTACAGCTACATAACTCATCTCCGCTTTCATTGTCCCAGTGTGTCTGTGTCTTCACATGACTTAAAAGGGGCTTACCCTACTCTAGTATGACCTCATCTCTTTGTATCTGCACTGACAACTCTTTCCAAGTAAGGTCACATTCTGAGGTCCTGGGGGTTAGGACTTCGGCATATTCGGGTGGGGAGGGCTACCTTCAACTCACAAGAGAGCGCTGGCATTTTTAAGATATTGAGTCTTTCCATCCAGAAACATGCCTTTTCAGTTGGTTCTCTTTAACTGCTGAGAAGTGAGCAGAGGGTTGCTGTTTTGAGGTGACCATGCCTATTTTCTTACACTGCTTTTTTTTTTTTTTAAGATTTTATTTATTTATCAGATAGAGATCACAAGTAGGCAGAGAGGCAGGCAGAGAGAGGGGGAAGCAGGCTCCCTGCTGAGCAGAGAGCCTGATGCAGGGCTCATCCCAGGACCCTGAGATCATGACCTGAGCCGAAGGCAGCGGCTCAACCCACTGAGCCACCCAGGTGCCCCTCTTACACTGCTTTTAAGATTTTTTTTTTTGTCCCTGATTTTCAGAAGCTTGACTATGATATCCTTGGATGTGCTTTTCTTTGTATTTAGCTTGCTTTTGGCTTAGGACTTCTTGAATCTATGAGTCATCAGTTGGGAAAATCTTCCATCCTTATTCCTTTACGTATTGCAATGTTCTCATTCTCTCCTCTTGTTTTGCTTCTTTGTACTCTCAACAGATACGTAGTGTCGCCAAATAATGCACTTTTAACCACTTTTTTTTTTTTTTACTTAGAACTGCAAATCATCTTTGAACAACTTGCTAGCCCTCCACTTTGTTATTTTCAGTTCTTAGCTTTACTCTTTCCATCATAAATGATTGCATGAGTGATCCTTTAGTGAGTAGTTATTTGATGTGTTAGGAACCAGGGACATTGGAGGAGGTGCTGGTGAACTTTACCTTGTAGGAACGAAAAGAACCAGATCATTATCAGATACTGTAAGGGATGTGATGGCAATTGTAGGAGGCTTGTCTCCTTAGATAAGTAAGGCTTTGTAATTAATGCAGATTACAGTGACTCTTCGCCCACATGTCAAAATATGTTTTATAAGTGTTTATCTGAGGTTGGGCTTTGAGTTTTGGGACCAGAGGTGTTTTATTTTGTGTACAGAGATAAGATGTCTTTTCTTCAAAACATTGTAAGTGGATAGTTTTATTTTGCCACATTAGCATCAACATTCCTGTATCTCAGAGTTCCTGAAGACAACTTAGGACACACTTATGAGATCCATCATAAACACCCAAGCCTATATCCTAAACCAAGAATGGGATATCAGCTTTTTAAATTGAATGTTATCTTTCAAGTAGGAAGAACCCTATTTATAGATAACGGGGGGAAATGGGGAATACTTAACCAAGAAAAAAATCAGATAGCTAAGTTACAACCAAATAGCTAGAAATCCTTGTAAGTAACAGTCCATCTGTCCATTGTGCTGGTGGTAGTAACAATATTGGTACCAGGAGGTAGATTTAGAAATGTTGGTTAGTGCCCACTGCGCAGAGTCCTTCAATCGGTGTCAAAAACTGAGTTCATCTAGTTTGAACATCAGCGTCATATCTACATATCTTTATCCATCTTCTTACGTAACTCTGTGATCTTAGAGAAATAGATATCAGCTCTTCTACTGCTAATTAGTCTGTCCTTCTGTACCCCAGACTCCATTCTTTAACACTCATCAAGGTTTTAAGACCTTGATTTATTAATTATTTCATAATTCAGTCCTTCTCAGTTCTAACTTCCAACAGTCAAAAGTTTTTCTTTTAAAGATTTTATTTATTTATTTATTTGACAGACAGAGATCACAAGTAGGCGGAGAAGCAGGCAGAGAGAGAGAGGAGGAAGCAGGCTCCCTGCCATGCAGAGAGCCCGACGCGGGGCTGGATCCCAAGACCCTGGGATCATGACCCGAGCCGAAGGCAGAGGCTTTAACCCACTGAGCCACCCAGGCGCCCCAAAAGTTTTTCTTTTAAAAGAACTCCTTGCATAACATAATTTAATTTTTATCCACCTTTCAATTTTATTCTCTCCTTTCATTACCAGTCTTGCCGCACTTGTAGCTAACAGCCTCCATTCCTATTCTGTTGTAGTCTTTGAAGTAGATTATTATCTTCTATTTTTATACTAACATTATTTGGAAGACACTCCTGAATCTTGAATTCTTTCCTGATAGCACCCTGTTCTTAGTCCTTTCTGTAGTCAGAGTTTCTGCTGCATTCGATGTTTTTTCTTTGCTTCTGTGACATCAGTTGATTTTTTTGTTGTTGTTCTGGTCCCTTTCCAAATGCTTTTTAATTAGCTTTACTTTTGCCTTAGCACAATTGCACATGCTTTTAAGGTTTACTTTCTACTTGTTTATTTTTTATCTCAGAGAGTCCGTGCATTCTGATATCTTCGTAGTCCTTCCATGTCATTAACTCCCTGAAATGTTTTTTTTCATTCCAAATATTGCATTTGAATCCTGTCCCCATAGTTTTCTTGCTTAGAGTCTGTCTCCATTAAATGTCCCACTTCACTTTAAATCACTTTAGACGCAATATTATGAAAAATGAAATCACCAACTTAAACTAAGCCACCTCCTTTTCCTTCAATATTTCTATCACTAGTACCACGATTAGGGTACTGTTAGTTCTTCTGCTAGTACAACAATTAGTACGACCATTAGTTCCAAAATTATTGGCAAAGAAACTTGTATCCTTAAAAACTTCATTTTGTAAAAAGTCCCCATAATCAGTGTCGGTGTTTTTAAAATTTCTTTCTTCTTTTTTATGTTTTAGATTTACTTCTACACTACGTTATTGGTAGTATTATCCCAGTCCAGGCCCATAACACTTACTTAATCCTTTTTACTAAATTCAATAGCCTTGTTCTTTCATTATTCACTTTAAATAAAATTAACAAGCATCTTCATCTAAAACATTTCATATTTATCATTTTGCTACTAAAAACTTTAGTTTTCCTATCTCCTACTATGTAGTATTGAATTTCTGTGTTTGTCAGAGTTTTCATTATCCAGTCACATTTCACTTTTCCTTTCTTATTTTTTTAATCTCTGCTTTCCAAAAACATTCATTTGAATTAATGTCACTGACTTTTTTCATGTCATGTACTCTCCTGTGTCTTTATTTTTTGTGTTATATATATTTTGTCTCGATGTTTCCATTTGTTTTACTCTCCTATCTGTATTGCTCCTTCCCCTCTTTAGACTTCCATATTAATCAGGACTTATACTGTATAATCTTTTGTTTCATCACAGCACTGGTTCATTTTTATTATTTTATTATTATTATTATTATTTTTCTGTTATTGATGAGCGAGTTTTGTTTTTTTCCTTTTATATTCCAGAGGGAAGAGATACTGTCTTTTCCTTAATCCTGGATACTATAGCCAAAGTCAGAACATCAACTCCAAAGCAGAAAGCTTCTGAAAAAGAATAGTGTCATGGCATAATGTTAGACATTTTTCTAAATGATGGTTCCTAAAACTTTGCGATAGAAGAATTGGAATTTGATAACTAACTTGAGAAACACTAGTAAAAGTGAATTACAAGGACACTCAGTTAAAGCAAAATCATTAATATAATAATTTTCAGGAAATATTTAACCTGAGCTCAACTCTTTTCAAACAACTGAGAGCTTCTAAAGATAATTGTGACATAATTATGACATAAATGATAGAAGCTTAAAGCATAGGTATCAGTTGATTTTTTTAAAAGGCAACTCATAAATGGAAAATAATTGATTAGATATAAGCAAGGATGCATTTTTATCTCAAACCTTACTTATTCTGGAAAAAGTTTAAATGTAAAGCCATAGTTCAGTACTAATGGAACCTAAGAAAATTTGTATGAGAGAGAAGCATGAATGTAAACTATGCGGTAAATCCTTCAGCCGGAACACTAATCTTATTCAGCATCAAAGAATACATACTGGAGAGAAACCTTACGAATGCAATGAATGTGGAAAAGCTTTTAGTCAGAGCACTAATCTTATTCAACATCAAAGAGTCCATACTGGGGAGAAACCTTACGAGTGTAGCGAATGTGAAAAAACTTTTAGTCATAGGTCATCGCTTAGAAATCACGAGAGAATTCATACTGGAGAAAAACCTTATCCTTGCAATGAATGCGGGAAGGCTTTCAGTCATATTTCAGCCCTTACTCAACATCACAGAATTCATACTGGAAAGAAGCCATATGCGTGTATTGAATGTGGGAAAACCTTCAGCCGGAGCACACATCTTATTGAACATCAGGGAATTCATTCTGGGGAAAAATCCTACCAGTGTAAGGAATGTCAGAAGGCTTTTTGCCATAGCACATCACTAATCCGACATCAGAGAACTCACACCGGAGAAAGACCCTATAAATGCACGGAATGTGGAAAAGCCTTCAGTCATACCCCAGCCTTCATTCAACATCAGAGAATTCATACTGGAGAGAAACCCTATGAATGTAATGAATGTGGAAAGGCCTTCAATCGGAGCGCACATCTTACTGAACACCAGAAATCTCATACTGGAGAGAAACCTTACGTTTGTAAGGAATGTGGAAAAACCTTCAGCAGAAGCACACACCTTACTGAACATCTAAAAATTCATTCTGGTGAGAAGCCCTATCTATGTAATCTATGTCAAAAACGATTTTGCTATAGAACATCACTAATTCGACATCAGAGAACTCATACAGGAGAGAAACCCTACCAGTGTGATGAATGTGGGAAATCTTTCAGTTTAAGTTCAGCCCTTACTAAACATAAGCAAACACACACAGGGGAGAAACCTTATAAATGTAATAAATGTAGTGATGTTTTCTGTCATAGTACATCTTTAATTCGACATCAAAGAACTCATTTTAGAAATGAAATCCTATCAGAGTAATGCATGTGGGGAGCCTGCAGCCATAGGTCATCACTTATACCTGAACACTCAGTGGTAAGAAATTCCAGGATTGTTAATGCAAGAAAAACTTAAGGCAAAATGTTCATTTTGTTTATACTGAGAAAAAGCATTGTTCTTGCAATTAATCCTGAAAATGTGTTTTCGTTCAGATAAAAACTTATAATGGAATTATCCCCAAACTGGTTTGTTTTTAAAAACACATTTGGAAAATTATTTAGAAATAATTTATTACATATTTATTTATTTGCTTATAATTAAAGGTTTTTCAGGCACAAAGTTTTAGTGGGATGATGAAAATTGTTTATATATCATCTTTTATCCTTTTAGTAATTCTCATGTTATTCTTCACTGTTAAAGAAACACCTTTATAGCAGGTTTGAGTTTTTTAAATTAACAAGTTTGTCTAATAGCCATATAAGAGAATACGTCACAGAGAAATGTGCATTATTTTCTAGTATTCATGAAATATTTTTAATGGAATATATATGTGTGTGTGTGTGTGTATAGTTTCTTGCCAAAGTGTATATCATATATACATAGTCCATTAAAAATATTCCATGAATACTGGAAATATGTGTAAATACATATACACATATATATGTATATATATTCCATTAAAATATATATACACTAAAGTGTATATACATATATTTTTATATATTTGTGTACATATATGGTATATGGTCCATTAAAAAATATGTCTACAAAGAAAATATTCAACCCTTCCCATTTTTTAAAAACCACAATAAGATAAGAAGTAGATATAAGGGGCACCTGGGTGGCTCAATGGGTTAAAGCCTCTGCCTTCGGCTCAGGTCATGATCCCAGGGTCCTGGGATCGAGCTCCGCATGGGGCTCTCTGCTCAGCGGGGAGCCTGCTTCTCCCTCTCCTCTGCCTGCCTCTCTGCCTACTTGTGACCTCTGTCTGTCAAATTAAAAAAAAAAAAAAAAGAAATATGAATAGGTTAAAATGGCAACACAAAACTTATTTAAAAATCACAGAACAATTTTGTAAGTAACTTTTCTGTTAAAGGATAAAGCCAAACACAAAAAAGACAGTTATTAGAAAATAATAAAATTAAGGCATAAGTTAAGTATTACATTACAGAAAAAGGAAATAGAATAATGATGTAAAACCAAGGAAAATAAAAGAAGTGCCTCAATAAATATAAAAGTACACATCAATGAAATAGGTACAAAAATATGTTTGATGAGCCAATAGACAAACTCTAGCAAGTAGGACAATGGGAAAGAAAGGGAAAAAGCAACATCTATAAGAAAAGGAATATAAATATAAATGAAAGTTAAATTTTCTAATTCAATGAATAACAAGCCAAATCTGTTTTGTAAAATCAATACTGAGATATATCATAGGACCTCCAAACTAGTTCAAAAGTAGAAATGTACATTTATAAAGAGGATTTACTTAGCAGATGATATAAAAATATTTGGCAAAGTTCTACAGGCATTGGTGTTTTTTAAAAATTAGGGATAGAAGGAAACCTAACTTATGTTGATAAAGGATATTAGAAACCTACGTAAACATTATGAATAGCCAGAAGCATTCTTATCAGAAAGAGGAATGAGAAATGATGTTTGATATCAATACTATTAGCATTCCTCTGAAGGTCCCAGATAACTTAATAAGAGAAAAAAATGAGCTAGTAATATTTGAAAGAACTGACATTATTTGAGATGGTATGTTTGGTGACTAGAAAATCTAACTAGAGGGGCAACTGGGTGGCTCAGTCGGTTAAGCGGCTGTCTTCAGCTCAGGTCATGATCCCAGGATCCTGGGATGGAGTCCAACATCGGGCTCCCTGCTCAGTGGACAGCCTGCTTCTCCCTCTCCCTCTGCCTGCCACTCTGCCTGCTTGTGCTCTCTCTCTCTCTTTCTCTCTGTCAAATAAATAAATAAAAAGAAAATCTAACTAGAACTTGTAAGGTAGAGATATATAGTCTATCAACAATGTGTAAATAAAAAACTATCTTAAGTAGAAAAATAGAAAATGTGATAGGAAAAGTGACAGTCACAATATTGACCAAAAATCTAAAAATACCAGGAATAAGAAAAATCCAAGAGATGTTTATAGGAGAAAATTTTCCAGAATAACATAGAAAATGTAATAAATGAAGAAATGTGTTTGAAAAATAATATAAAGATGTCGATTTGTTTAAAATTTATCTTTGATTTGTAAATTTAAATCAAATCAGTGGAATTTTTAAAAAGCAACAGTTTTATTGAGGTGTTATTCTCACACCAAAAATTTCGCTCTTTTAAAGTACAATTCAGTGGTGGTTAGTATATTCAGAGTTGTGGTACCGTCATCACTATCTAATTTCAGAACATTTCATCACCTCATTAGCAGTAATTCCCTATTGCCCTTCTCCCTCCAGCCTCTGGTCACTACTCATCTACTCTCTTTTTGTGGATTTGTCTACTCTAGCCTTTTCATATCAGTTAAATAACAGAATGTGTGTACTTTTGTGGCTGGCTTCTTTCACTTAGCATTAATATTTTCAAGGTCCATCATGTTGTAACAAGCATGAGTACTTAATTTCTTGTTATGGTGGAATAAAATTCCATCGTATGGGTCTACCAGATTTTGTTTTCCATTCATTAGTTTATGGCCGTTTCAGTTGTTCCCACTTTTGGTTATTGTGAATAATGCTGCTGTAAACACTCATGTATAAAGTTTTGTATGGACGTGTTTTTAGTTCTCTTGGGTATATACCTGGAAGTGAAATTGTTGAGTCACAAGTTAACTCTATGTTTACCTTCTTGAGGAAATGTCAGATTATTTTCTAAAGCAGTTGCATCATTTTATAAGCCCACCAGGAACGTGAGTGTTCTTATTTTTCCACATCCTCATCAATACTTGTTTTCTCTGTTACATGTATATTTTCATAAATTTTTCCACACACATACAATAGGTGTATTTTTCATGAATATTTTTATAAATACACATAGATATATATTTTCTTTGGAGAAATGTCTGTCCAGATCCTTTGCCCATTTTAAATTAGATTATTGTCTGTTTGTTGAATTTTAAGAGTTCTTTATACTGGATACTAAACCCTTATAAATGTAATTTGCAATTTTTTTTTTCCTGTTCTGCGGGTTTTCTTTGATGTTCTTTGAAGCAGAAAAGGTCTTAATATTGATGTAGTCCAGCTTACCTATTTTTTTCTTTTATTGTTTGTCCCTTTGTTGTAACCCAAAGTTGAAGAGTTATGTATTTTCTTCCAACAGTTTAACAGTTTTAGCGCTTACTGTTAAGTCTATGATCCATTTCGAGGTAACTTTTTTGTATATGGTGTGAGGTGGGGGTCCACCATTATTCTTCTGCGTGTGGATATTCAGTTATCCCAGCACCTTTGTTGAAAAGACTATTTCCCGCATTTAATTGTTTCAGCATCCTTGTTATTCAATGGGATTTTAAAATAAAATTTAGCACACTAAATATAAGTATATTTGAATAACTAAAAGAATGTTAATTAGGAGCAACAAATGGGGCTTGCCCTCCAAGCAGTTCAAATAGTAGTCTGTAGGAAACAAAACAGTTGGTACACTGCAGATGAAACCATTGGATCTGGAGAATAGAAAACAGAAAAATATATGAGAATTTAGTTTATGGGAACAGTAGCATCCCAAAATGGTGGAGAAAAAATGGACCAGTCATTAAATTATATTTTGCTTTTTGCCCCATTTTGCAGTTCTCCAAAAGGACTGGCCACTTGGTAAAATGTTAAAGCTTGTGTGTCTCACCTAAGCGGTCTCTTTAAAGCCATTTTTAACAGCACAAAGAGAAGTTGGTGAAAAAGATCTGGAGGGTTCCAGAGCTGCTTTGGGGACTTTCTCCATCTTACTCCTCTCAAAGTGAGACCAGCGGGGGTTGAAATGATCCCTATGGGTAGAAACCACCACCATGTGGGACTGGGGCTTTAACTGAACTCTCCCAGTGCGCCCTGGCAGGACGCACCCGCCCCCATCCCCGCCCCCGCTAGCCCAGCAGAACTGCACGCGCCCACCCACCCCTGCCCCCAGAGAGGACGTGCCAGAGCCAGCACCCCAACACTGAGGGGCACAAGGAGGCCAACGGAGAGGAGCGGTGGAGCCCTGCAGGCTCAATTTATTTTGAGTTTACTTCGCTCTTCCACGAGCCTCATAAAGTGAAACGTTAGGGCTGATTTTTAGACCTCTATTCTCAAAAGAAAAGCATTTATAACTACAATGTTCTTCCAAACAGGGCATTAGCGGCACCCCTCACCCCAGATTTTGATATGACACATCTTCATTGTTATTTAACCGACCTGAACATTCTCTAATTTTGTTGTGATTTCCTTTTTTTTTTTTTTAAGATTTTATTTATCTATTTGACAGAGAGAGAGAGAGAGAGAGAGAGAGAGATCCCAAGTAGGCAGAGAGGCAGGCAGAGAGAGGATGGAAGCAGGCTCCCCGCTGAGCAGAGTCCAATGCGGGGCGTGATCCTAGGACTCTGAGATCATGACCTGAGCCTAAGGCAGAGGCTTTAACCCATGGAGCCACCCAGGTGCCCTGTGATTTCCTCTTTGATTCGGGCTCTGGCTGCCCCCTCGGGCTGCGCTGGTGCCAAGCCCTGGATGACTTCATTTAAGCCCGAGAGGCCTCGAAACCGGTCCCCGCCTCCAGCGATCCTGCCACCAAGTGCTGCGCCTTGAGGCCCCTCGCGGTCCTCGCCAGAGCCGGATGACCCCGTGCGTGAACTCACGCGCTCACGGCACACCGCACCCTGCGGAGCCGAGCACGGGCCCTCCTGCCGTCCTGCCCCGGTGGCCCCAGTCTCCCCTGGGTTGGGCACGTTCGCCCCGCCTCGCGTTCTTTTCTGGATCCCCATTTTCTTCCCGGCGCCCAAGAGGTTTCTCGACTGGTCTCTTTGGCCTACTTCCAGGGCTTGGCGAGGGCCCCGTGGGAGAGAGAGACCGAAAAGAGCGTGTGG